TTCATGACTCAGCCTTTTCTTAGCTTGTCATGTTGTTTCTCTTAACATCTGGCTGCTAAATTTAGTCAGTAAGAACTGCGGTCCTGGCTCGGACTATCTCGTCCCATAGACCTACAACGGGACTGGATCCTGACCGGTTCACACAGCGTAGTGCACAGATGGGCGCACACGTCCCACATATCAGATTAAAAGAGCGTCTGCAGCAGCTGTTTAACTCGTGTCAACACGCCGGGGACTTCAGCACCAGGAATCCTTCACAAGTTGTTAATAGCTTATTAGAAATATTTGCATTTTTCTGAAATTGTCACAAAAACCAGCTAAATTTTGACTCGATGGTCTGAAAGATTACTCAGAAATATGATAAAAATATTACATCCTGTGACAATAAATCATTTTGTAGATAATCAGCATGTCACATAATAATAATAATACCTTCAAAGACCAATAAGCGAGCGTCAGAGCAGGAACAAACAGCAACAATAAGCCTCTCCATGTCTGTTGTTTCTGTAACAGCTGATTTTAGCTTCCTGTGGGAGAGCTGATCCTAATGAGCCGCGGTACATTAAACAGATTAGTGTTTGTCAAAGGACTGGTGTACATTATACTATCAGATCAGTCAGGTGCATGTAGCAGAGATGAAAGAACGTTTTCTTACTGCAGACGTGTGCGAAGCTGTCATTCAGCACATACATGCAATAATACAGATCTATAAACAGAACAAAGCACATTTAATTAACTGCGCTAACGACATCACAAGCATCAGGTATACAAAATTGGAATAAGATCAACAACGTGAACAGGCTTCGTATTTCTGTTTAAGTTAATAAATGATACAAAACGAATCTGAAGAGCCGGAGCTGAAAAAAAACATAAATCAGTTCTAAAAGTTGTACAGAAACATGTTTATAAGAAGATGTGGGGATGAAGAGACGTGGTTTTGGGAGGGGATGCTAATGGGTGGCTATAAAGGACTGGGTTTCACAGTAAATGACCTGGGGTTTGTTTTTGTTTGTTTGTTTTGTTTTTGTTTTTGTTTGTAAAGAATTGGTGTAAATAGGTGTTTGGGTTACCTATGAGCAGTGGAATAAGGGGTGGGATTCCTCCTGCTCACTTTCAGACACATGATCCATTTTTTCAAATTATATCTTTATTTAATTTTCTTTCTCTATTTTTTAATATGTTCAAAATAGAGAATTGAACTGAAAATAATGCTTGCTGTTGTTTTCAGAGACTGCTTTGGAAATCAGTGCCTTGTTCACTCATTCACTCTTATAAAACAAAAAACACAGCTTCAGGATGTGACTGATTCCTCGTTTTGTTTCATCACAGACATTTAAATTGTCTCACGGCTGCAGTTTGTAACCAGGATTTTACTCCATGAAGATATGTTGCATGTACTGTATGTGTCGTTTAAACGGTTTAACTTCTGGACACTAGTTTTTCCTGTTTCCCTCATCAGGAGGCTCCAAGTCTCCACATCACACTTATTTAAGTCGCTTTCTGGACCACGACTTCCCTTTAAAGTGGCGACATCGTCACAGTTCACATCGGTGTGTTGAAGCCTCCCTCCTCAGCAGACGAGTCAAACTCTCACACGAAGCTCAAACAAGCAAGTAAAATGACAAGAAAGCTATTTCACAGCAGAAAGCAAACGTTTAATTACTCCCGTCAGCAACGCTTCTGTTTTGTGTGGGCGTCAAAGTTCACGGTTCTGGCTGGTGTTGCACGTTGTGACTCACTGGGACGGCAGAGAGCTGAATGGAACCGAGCCACCGCTGACATAGACTTTAGAACCCAGTTATGATTGGATATGTTCCATTTTTGTGTTTGTGCAGGTCAACACATCCTGATTTCATAAACCTAAACAGGTTCAGTTCTTATTCTGGTTGGGGGAAAGCCAAATATGCTGCTGGGATATTGTTTAATGTATATTTAAAACAAAGAGGGACAAAGTATTTTCAGTCCGGGCGCTGAGGAAATCAGGTCGACTAAGTCTGTGCTCTCTTTTAAGACACTTCTTAAAACACATTATCGGAGAGCTTTCCCTGATTTTATTAAGTTTTAAGTTCTATGTTTTTTTTTGTTGTTGTTTTTTTTTTTTAGCTTCTTGCTTTTTGTGTGACTGTCTACTTTTATCAATTGTTCTGTATGCTTATTGCATTTTAATTTTAATTTATTTTACCGGAAAGCACTTTGTAACATTTATTTTGAAAAGTGCCCTATAAATAAAATTTATTATTATTATTATTATTATTATTATTATTATTATTATATATGTCACAGTCCAAATTAAAATCCAGGTGGATTTTAAATCCACCTCGGCCAGATTACAATTTTGACTTGGTCTCCGCAGATTTTAAATTTGATTTAGCCTCGACCAAATTAAAATCCTTCTAATATCATAATGAGATTGTAATCCTGCCCGTCTGCTGCCAGAACAGACTGTGATGACACCAGAATGCAAATCCATCATTAGATTCTGTATCGTACATTTTATGTTTTGTCCTGAAACAATTAACATTTAGTACTTTCTTGGTTCTAAAACATTTCAAAAGGCAGAATGTCGTGAAATCAATCAGTTTGTGGTTAATTTAAAAACTGTTATAAATTACTAATAATTGATAAATGAAATAAAATGAAATATTCAGTGAATATTCATTTATGTTTGTTAAATATGTGCTTTCCTTAATGGCTATACAAAAATGAAAAAATCTATTCCAGATATTATAATTAGTGTGGTCAAATTTTAAATCTTCTTAGGCAGGTTTTCAATCTCTATTTGTTATAAGGATGATTTCAATTTGGTCGAGAGGAAATCAAAATTTTAATTCTGCATAGGTAGATTTAAAATTAGCCCAGGCAGGATTACAATCTCATGATGATATAAGGAGGATTTTAATTTGGTCGAGGCAAAATCTAAATTTTAAATCCGCCTGCGTTTAATTTGGACTGCGACACATACATCTTAACCCGGTTTCTGACCACAGCGACTTCCTGTTTCAGCCAAGTGACCAACAGAAACACAAACCAGATGTTGTTCCTCGTGACGTCGCCCAGTTTCTACAAGACTACGTCCACTTCCACCCGTTTCCTCTCGTCTCATGAACGGTTCACAGAACCCGTAAAACAAAGTCAGACATGTTCTCTCCACTCGGAATAACTCAACTCCAATATGATGACGCTCTCCCACCAGCCGCATATCTTCATCTATCGCTTCCTCATCCTACACAACAGCAACGTCGGTATTTCTTGTGGGTCTCTGCCGGCAATAAGCTGAATAGGTCAAATCCAACGCAGCATAATGGAATTTAATATCGCTCAGCAAACCATAAGCCAGAGCGGCATCACAGGAATCTGAACACACAGCACGCAGTAACCAGAATATTTATCAAGCATGTGGGGCTATGAATAACCAGACTTCTCTTTGCCATATCCTGAATATGATCAAAACCAGGATAAGCCTCTAAACCAGTATTCTGGGATGCATTTGAATGCCGGCGCTCAGTCTCTGAGCTTCTCCTGCACAAAACACCAACACATCACGCGTCCACTCACAGGTGTTCTCTGTGGCCGACTACACCTGTTGTCCGGACTGTGTGTCTGCATTAAGCAGAGCAGCGCTGCCAAAATGCAACCCTCTGAGCCAGCTGCCCAGGTATGTGCATTTGGTGATATGAAGAGGACAAGAAGATGAGAGAGTTTACACAAGTAGAGAAGAAAAGTTTATAGACGTAGTTTCATATTTGCATTTTTAGGGACTATGCGTGCTCATGTGTGCATATTTATTCCATCAGCATAGTGTCTGAACCACACTCCATGACAAAAAAAACAAAGGTGTAAATTTGTCCCAAGGAACAGGGGGATCCGCAAGAGCTGCTGTTAAGAATTAGCTCTGTTTGCTTAATTATTTTCTCGACGCCTGCAGGAATTGCAGTTGTTAGGCGTCAGCAAGAAAGAAGTTTAATTGCATCGCCAGGAAATATTTAGCATCTCTTTTTATTTGTGCAAAGCGATATCGTCCGCAACACTGAGGGGAGTTTTTCCAACAGTTGCAGTTATGCTATGTTGGCAGGAGGCCAAGTTTCAGGCTGGTAACTAAAGTTTTGCTGGATTAAAGCTGAAAGCTTAAATACACCTTATCAGGGAGTCTCTACACGTGTTTTTGAATGGACATTAGCCACACACACGTAGTGTTCAACACTTTTACACACACTCATGCACACAGCTGGCAACCAACAGGCCAGTCAGCAGTCTGCAGGAAAAACTTAAACAACATTTAGCAATGATGCAAGCTTAGCCGTCATTAGCATAATGTATTCCTTGATAATCGCTGTGCCTCCAGCTACGACGACTCTGCTTCATCACTAGCAGCTTGTGCAGCACACACACACCGACATGCACTTCTGCTGTGTTAGTTGAAGTTCCCGGGCCCGCGGCCGTGCGTCGAACCCAGCAGGGGGGCGGGGAGTGAAACCCCACGGCTGTGCTGAAGGGGTCCACATATATTTAAAACAATCATGAATTTTAATGGTAACCCACCGAGGGAGTCTGTTTTACCAGCCAGTCCCTCTCTCGCTTTTTCTCACTCTCACATACACTCTCTCCTCTTTGCATCTCTCTTTCCTTGATTCCTCTGGCAAAACCCAGGCAGAATTATTAATGCATGACATGAAAATGTAAAAACTAGCCCCCGGTGGCGACAGTGAACCGAAAATGGTGTATTAAAGGAAAGGGGAAGTGACAGCAGAGGAGAGGAGAAACAGAGAGAGAAGAGTGAGAGAAGGAGGGCTGGGGATCAATGTGTGAAATGGGAATTATATATCAGTCAGTCTGTGATGTCTGCTGTGTTGTCTTAACACTTAACAGGAGCGTTGAGGTGGGATAACACTCCTTATATCTGAGAGAAGAGGTACGGAGGAACAGCAACGGTACGAGAGGACTAAAAGAAATAAATGTAGTTACGTAAAAAGAAAAAAGCAGGAGGAGAGCGGTGTACTCACTGGACGGCGGTGGAGATGTGCAGGCGTCGGATGCCTGGTGTGGGAAACTGGCGAGAGTTGATGTAGGAAACTTTCCTCACGGCGGCGTTCATGTTCTCCAAGTCCTCCCCCTCCATCACCAGGATGGACTGAGCCGGGTTGAAGTGGAACTAAAAACACAGAAGAGTACATGACAAAATGTTAGCAGGGACGCACCCGTTTAAAGCTGCACGCAATCAGGGCTAATTGAAGAGGGTTGTGGGGCAACAAGGAGCTGCTCCTGTTCCTCCCACTCTCGTTCAATCCAGTTTTCTATGCTTTAGCACCACCTGCCTCAGGAGTTGCTGTGCGGTAATGTGATTAAACTTTAACTCAATTTCAAGCCACAGCCCCGAGATAAAATATTAAAGCAGAATCCATAGTAAAATTGCATTACCGGGTCGCTTTGGCCACCTGAGGGCAGCACAACAAGTTACACTGTAAATGCAACTCTTACATACGGTACTACCGGCTTGGGAACTTGCACCAGCTTGTTAGCAAACTGTTGTCAGTTTGCACTTCGAGCAGATAAAGAACAATGCAAGTACATTAGTCGAACCCAACTTGGGACACACGGTTGCTTTGTGAGGACCCTTTGAATGCATTGGGTGTCATATGTCAGCGTACAGGGCAGTTTGATGGACTAAAAACCTCTGAACATTACACACTGATGCCATGAGTCCAGGATGAATGCTGACGCCGAAACAGCAACTAAAAAAAAAAAAAAGCAAACAGCAGGTGAGAATGAAACTTATGTCACCAAATAATAAAAGCCCATGTGATAAGATAATGGGTTGACATTTTGGATAAAAGAAACCTTTGACTTGTACTCCCACCAGTGCTCCAACCTCCTTATGAGTCTCTGATAAACTCAAACAACATCTATTGGTTGTGGGTTACAACAAGCCTTTGTGTAGCTCTGAGTCGGTGGAGTTGTGGCTACTTAGCTGCTAAACGCTCCACTAGCCGTGGGCTGTAAAACCCAAACAATAAGCCGACACTAAACTGCTTTTCAGTGTTTGAAATTACAGAGCCTGGCAATAATTCTCCTGTTATGTCATCACGTCTACTGTCAAGAAAATGAACAGAGCAACTTTAAAACTCCTACCGTGTCAGCAGATGTGTAATTTAGTGTATTTATACACAGCAAGTGTGGGTCCCAGAGCAGTTGTTAGTAATGCAGCTTTGCTTCTAAAGAAGATTTAATAAAAGCGACCTGTGCTATGCAGCTTTGATGAACAGAATAACAAAACATCTTACACGAGATAACTTCAGCACTGGTTTGGCGAATGCTAACACCTTTCTCCTCGGCTCCAGCAGCTTTGTTTTCTATTCATTTCGTCGCACAGAAGTATGAACATCACTTTGCAGAGACCTGAAACTTGTTTGAATCGGGTGATCCATCAAAGCGAGCATCACGACGGCGCTGCGTTACCGTGCAACAGCAATGTCAGTGTGACTAAAGCAAACAGATCTGATGCTCCCTGTGATGGATCGCCTGTTTTAATGCACGTTCAGGCTTCTACAAATGGATTTTTATACTGTACTGAAGTAAATGCAAACCAGTGGCAGTGGCAAGAAAATGGCAGCGTGATAGTGCATTTAGTAGTCAATACGTTAAAACACTCGTACGGCCGTTTATGTGAAAGGACCAGAAAGTAGCTGGCGGAGTCTCCTCACAAGTACAGCTACCCAGAGGTGTGTGCTCTCCTGCAGGGTTTGATGGCAGGGATTTGTGGTCCTTCTTTCTTTAAAGAGGGTTTAGTGTTCTCCTGCTAGAACTGCACTGAGTGTCTCCCATTTCCTAAAACTGGGTCTCAGCAGCAGGGTGACACTACTTCAGCACTCCATGGGGCTCTCCATACAGTTCCTCTCCCCGTCATTTTCCCCTTCACACTCTTCCCTTCTGTCATTTTCTGCTCGCCGTCGCGATATTTTCTGTCTATCCACCTCTACCTCCCTCTGTCTTCCCCTCTCCGCCTGTTATTCTCCTCTGATTGTGCTGTGCCAGCCTTCCACCTGCTTGGCTAAATGCTATCCTTAAGCCTCCCGTGGACTTAAGGGAGCCAGATGAGTGTGTGGTTAAGAAGAAAATGAAATGGCTCTCAAAAGATAAACTGCACCGGCCCCAGAGAGGTTGTCCTCCTCTCCTCTGCCTCCTCCTATGCCTTATTTCCCCACATCATCCCACCTCGTCTCCTCAAAGGGCTGGCAAGCATCTCTTTTCTGCACCGTAGCACAGGAGCTCTACGGAGGGAGCTGCGGGAGTTTGGACTGAGGAGGAGCTGAGGGGAGGTGGTGGTGGTGGATATGGGGGCGGCTTTGAGTCTACACAAACCCCCATCCATCTTGTCTGCCCTCTATCTTCCACAGTGCAGGGAGATGGATTAGCCGAGCCGGTGTTGGGGGGGAGAGACGAAGAAGGTAGCAGAAGAGTTTCAAGAAAGCCAGCTGGTGATTTAGCTGTGGTGATTTAAAGAAATACTACTTTGTGTCAACTGAGATCAGAAAGTGTGTTTTTGTGGGTGTGCACACGCGACAGGAGAGTGTATGTTGAATTTACGCCCAGCGAGTTTTTCTTGCTGCCAGACTACGACTGAATGAACTCAATTTAAAGAATTCCTGAACCTTTTTTTTTGTGTGAAATCTGCCTATTGTAGACAGTTGAGAGGAGATGACTGATACCACTTGTGCGTCTGCCAGCAGCTGGTTATGTTGGCTCAGTAGAAAGCCTGGAAAAAAGGGAAGCAGCTTTCCAAACACTGTCCCAAAGCAACAAAATCTGCCTATCAGCACCATTAAAGCTTAATTATCGTGTGATAGCTCATTTGTTTAATTTGTGCTAAAACTGACGTGTAAAAACTTGCAGTTGTGGTTTCACGAGCCGCTGTTTACTTGGCCACATGCTGCAAGCTCCTGGGATGTCCTTGATTCCAGTCCTTATGCTAAGCTAATCTCAATTCAATCATTCATTTATTGGCAATAAAACACATTAAATTTCACATCCAGCACTTGCGAAGCGACGTTATCATCCAATTGGTCTCAGGCTTGTGAATTAATGTCCAATATTTGCTCTCTTTTAGCTTGTTAGCAACACCACAGTTCAGTATTTGTCTCTTTAGCTTCTGTTGTGTGGTTCGGTCCAAACAAGTGGCGACCTCCAGGTGCAAAGGATGTAGCCAGCGTGGAAACCCAAACCGCAGTTCCTCAAGTGTCCACTTGAGGCTGGTTCCAAAAGTGAGTCAATCCTCACTGACCCTCATGTTAAAGTGTCCAAATGGATATCAGAAATACACGTTTACAGCCCGGTACCAACATGGTTTTGCTCTCTATAGCTGCTGTACGGGGTACGTTTTTACACAACTCACTCCATTAAGTTGTGTTGAAGTTATGCATAGTTGAGTCACATGTGGGCTGATGTCACAGGACAGTCCATCGCCTGCCTCAGCTCGAGTCACGTTCCCCTCTATTTGCCCATGTTTGGATTAGATGGGAGTTAGGCAAAGTCAAGGCTGATGTATATTCCCACAATAGTGCCTGTCAGAGCAGCGTTCTGCAGATGCAGAGCTTAGGATTATAATGCAGAGGAGACATGCTTGCATGCATTCCTCCATTAAGCCAGCAGTGGCAGTGACGACGACACGCTGAAGATTCCTTTCAGTGTGATGAACAATTCATGTGTTTATCGTCACTGCTGATGCAACAAGATTTGGTTTCACTCCTTTTGGGTTCTGTCTGTTCTGTCCAAGGAAAAGAAAAACAACCGACACCCCTTTGCTGCCTACATTTCTGCCCTAAAGTGGCAGCACACAGCTTTGTTTAGACCCCGATGTGTCCAGCTCTCCAAAGCACCAAAACACAAGGTGGTAGCGTGCTTCAGTTTCATCTGAAAACATCACAATAAGAGCGGCAGAAGTAAACAGCAACAACAAAGGTACAGACCAGACACTTGGAAAACTCCCTCTAAAGCGTGTAAATTTGGGGAGCGTGGACATTTGGTGCACGTTTTGCCAAATCCTCTGGCTCCTACATACATTTTGTACGTTGCTGTTCCAAGCCTGGCTGACAGCAGCCCCAGTTTGTGCCTCTCACACGTAGCCGCTGGTTGCATCAGCGAGCCCGATAAACACCAGTGGAAAAAGGACAGTGTACCAGAGCAAGATTTATTCCTCTGCAGTGGCAGTAGGCACAACGCATGGGCCCACTGATAACTGTGCTGTATTCAGAGCTTAAAAAGATATTTAGGGCTGGGAACAGTAATGTTAACCGTGATGAAGAGCAGGGCTGTGTAGCTGCTGACGCTCCCTATAGAAACACACCAGTGAGCGCTGCTAGCTCAGGCACCCACACAGTGACTCTCTCAAGGGTCTGTAAATGTATTTTTAGCTTCACCAGTCTTCCCAGTGGAGACGCAGAGAGTCTGACAGCGGATCCTGACTGGTCTGACTAGCAGCTCTGTGCCCATGATGCCCCCAGCTCTGGTCAATCAGTGCCACTCTGTGTCCTCTAACCACATCTTCCTACAGGAATTGCTCCACTGCTGTATACTGTTTAGCAGAGGGCGTAGTTACCCTTTAACATACTGACGCGAGTGGCATCAATCATCTCATTAAGTCTGCTTGATTGTCAACAATCTCCCTTAAGGTGGGTTTCACAACATCGCGGACAGATTTATATACAGGCAGCTTATTTCCAGCAAAGTATGGCGAGAAAATGTCATAAGAGAGAAAATACATGGTAAGGAAAATACAGGAAACTCTTAAGTGGTGGTCCTGCTGTTTTAAGTATGGAGAAGCGATAATGTTTCGACGTTAATGGGGAAGGTAACAGCGCTATCATGTACTGCTGTAGAACCTGTAGAGATAATTCTAGATCATGACAAACAATCCGTGTGTGTGTGACGTATGTAGGGATATGCATTGACATGTTCATGTGGCTACAAAGTGGTGCATATTATGTTATACATACATACAATGCATTTTATAAATACACAGACTGTGAACACCTTCTCTGTCTCTTGACCATGAACAGATGTAATTTGCACAAATGTTGGCTTTTTCAAATAACTTCAAATGAGACCCCTCTGGTTTTGTGCACATCGTCAACGTGTCCATATGATATTTTTCCACAAGTCAAGGCTGACTAGGCTCAGCATGTCCACCTTCAAACTGCAGTGTCCTCATGACAGTCTAAAAAAACACAGATTCAGACGTCAGGAGAAACTTCAGGGATCATTTTTGTTGTCTTGCAGGATTGGGATTTCTGCATCATTATGTTTTCTTTGAATGTGCATGACTGAAGTACTCCAGTATCATAGCTTGTAGCGTGGAGTAGTTTTACAGTGTCTGAGCAGAGCTGTAGGTGAGATGGTGAGTGAGTGAGTGGGGCAGGGACTTTGAAGATCTTAGAGGCACAGCTAAGCCACTTTAAGGCAGCAGGGGATCATTTTAATGGAAAAAACTTCCAAATATGTAGAGACAGAGAGTTGAGCTTTTAGGAATTAAATCAATGACTGGAGAGGAGCTTTAATGACTATCAGCTGTTTGAATTAACCAGAATGTGTTACAGTCCGCCTTTTGGAGAACCTCCTGCATCTCTTGCTGCATGTGCGCGCTGGTTTTTACCTTTATATTCTTATCCAGGCTTTCGAGGGAGTTGATGTCCAGTCCCTCTTTGCAGGCCTGCAGACAGGAAATGACTTTCTGACTCTCAATCTTGCCTGGTCGGATGGTCAGTCCAGATAGGCTCCCCCGGAAGTACTGGGTGAACCTGGGCTTGGTCACCTCCCCACCTGTCCAGACAAACACACACACATTCAGTAAAACAGTGCATTGAATACCTTTCCTAAGCTTATAGCACATAACATGCTGGCTTTATGGTGACACTTTCTCTTGTATTGTATTTGTTGTGGTGATTGCAGTAGCCAAACTTGACAATGACACCTTTAAATGCAAAGAACAGAACCTACTTGAAGCAAACAGGACAAAGTCGACACTCTTTCAGCTGCATTATGGTCATTTGGATGAACCAACGCTAATGCTCCATTTTCTATGCAATCATTACAATAGGTCATGCAAACATTTCTGGGTTGTGGTTAATTTACTGTAAATGACCGGTTCGTGGTCCCTTACTCATTACAGTATCATCGAACTAACAGCGACCTTGTCCAGCCTTTAATTATGAGTCCTAATGACCCAATAACGCTTATAATTGCCTCAAAGATGCATGTTTTGTGTCCCCATCCTGTGATTAAGCGGCAGGGTGTTGCTGTAAAAGTGCAAAAGCTACTCAGCCGGCCCATTCAGGCTAAATAAAGGTAAGGAAAATGTCGACATATCTAAAGCCTGTCCTCTGAACTCCATAAAGGCCAAAACTAGCAAGAGGAGTCTCCAAACCACTCATTAGCTGAAAGGTTACTAGCTGTGGGTATCAAAACTTCACCTTTGCTTTCCGTTCCTTCCTTTCATTTACCTCCTCCTCTGCTGTTCTCTAATTCTGGCAGTAATCCACCAAAGCACTAAAGCTATAGCGTTTGTCTTAAAAACTCCAAACTGCTTCATTCATCAGCAGCATTTAGACGATGAGGTGGAGCAACGACTGATGGGCAAGGTACACAGCAACAAAACCGTCTTCCTCTCCCCATCAATTTATCTGACCGGCCTCTCAGCGCACTCCTCTGACACCTTCTGTGCTCTCGTACACCTGCTCCCCAGTGATTGTTGGAGGCGAGCAGCGAACAGGAGGGTTTTTCTATCGTCTTTTCAGAGTTATTTTTCCACAGTTTGTAATGTGGGTACAGTCATTACCAGAAGCCAGCATGTCCACATAACGTCCCATTGTCCGAGTGCCGGCAGCATTCAATCACTGAGTAGATACGGCAAATTAGGGAAGCGGTCCAGTCAGTTAATAGTCTTAAGCCCGGCTGTTGTAAACAGCAACCGCCAGCACGGAAGGAAAAGCAGAAGCACTCGATTGCTCAGATGTCAATGCATTTCACCACCTCTGCATTGTACGTATATTCTTCATAGATTTCTAAACAAGATGGAGGAGCACAGTGGAAAGTATTGTGCTGCTCTAAACTGTCTTCTAACCTCAGAGCCAGCTGATAGCAGTTCACCACCAATGTCCAGTACACACCTTTCTTAACCTTTTTACTTGGCTGAGGTATCACCTCCAGTTGGAAAAGACATGGCCCGGGTCCTGGGTGTGATTCCAGATATAACAGACTTTATTAGGTCAAGTATCTCTTTGCTGCCAAGCGACTTGGACTGCCTCAAACTGTGCATATGGTGAACAGACTGCAGCAATCTTTCAACCTCTAGAGGCTCCTTGTACAATTTATATGTGGTGCAGCTAGTTCTGGTATTTTTTTTTTCTCTCTCTCATCACTACAGTGGAATCAGTCTGCCTTACCTCTGCACACCGCAAGGCTCCGCTCAAAAATTCAAAATGTCATCTCATTGGCAGTGGCTCAGTGCACTTTTTAATGAAAGCTATGCCATGCTAGTGGACAAACTGTACGGTCCTGCTCTGTAGCCGCTGCAGACAGGTGTCTGTGGCACAGCCTCAGGGGTAATAAGTGGGCGCTGGAGGACCCGTGGGTGATAGATGTGGTGCAGGACAAGGCACTGACAGAGACATTTGTCTGAGTTGGTTGCTGTGCTGCTCCCCCCCTCATGAGACCACTTCATGTCTCAGGAGTGTTAAGAGTAAGACACGAGTGTTTCGCCCATTTGTGCTCGACCTTCAGGACCTAAAAGTCTTCTAATCACACAGTGGTGACATAGAGGAGACATCCTGGTAGACCTCTGCATCAATGGGCCAGAGGACTGTCAAAGAAATCCAAAAGTTTTGCCTCTTTACTGGGCCTGTCCACATGCCAGCCACTCGGTGTGTGCATGTTCGTATGTAATACACTGAACTGTTCTACTCTTTGAAGCAGGCAATCCAGTTAATGACTGAAGAGGCAGTCCTATATTTTATCGTAGCTGGAGTTGGGAGAGCCCTTAATTCAAAACCTTCAAGCGCTTGACTCAGGCTCCCCTCATTCCCTGCTAATGGTACAGGCACATCTATCACCGCCCTAAGTGATGTATGTAGGCCCTGAAAAGCTCAGTCAGCACAGATGGAGACACAACTGACCACTGGTGGAAGCACTTTATCATGCCTTACTTTCCTGGTGTGAAAACGTGACAGAAATGGGGTGCAGTGACCGCAGCCCTTCAAGTTAGAATCATCCCCGTGATTACTGACCTGCAGCTACATCGTGCACAATGACTAGTCAGATAGAGCTCCCTTATCACCCCTGGGGCAGACAACAGAGGCAACAGAGTCCCACCAGTTGATGTGATCTACCCAGGGGATCTTATCAGCCCAGTGGCTTGTCATCTGCTTGTCTGCTCTCCCACATGGGAGACTGATGAAGCCTTTTTCTTGACGGGGTAGATGGAGATATGTGAGCAGCTATAAAAATTCAAACGCCCGAGCTCTCCCTGTTAGTTCAACCTTTTTGTCGGCAGCCCCTCAGTAAGTGTTTTTACAGTCCATGAATTTACCCCCCCTTTGCATGCTTGTGTGGTACTTTATGCCCTCATGCACCTGCTCCCAAGTTCCTGGGAGAGGGTTGGAAAAGCAAGCAGGAAAAAGTCTCTTTGATGTTCTTCTTACACTCACTTTTTCTTCTTTATTTTTTTGTCTTGCCAAGAACTAACCGTTCACCCAAACTGCAACTGCTTTGCCAATCTTAAGACAGATGCCTTCCTAGTAGCTGCTAAGCTTTTCCAAAACCAAAAACAGCAACAACAGCAGTAAACAAAAGAGGCTTCGGCATGCAGTGTATTTTTAAATGCAAGCTGCGGCATGTTTGACGACTGAGCTTAATACCGACAGGTCAAGAGTTAGCATGTCATTAAGGAACTACATGAGTTTGTTGGCAGGTTACATAAAAAAAAAAGCCTCATTCATAAATAGCACATGTGTAGAATACAAGGACTGCAATGCACAAACAATCCTGGTTCTCGATTTCCACGTCTCCTTCTTTGATGAATCATGGTGAGGATCTGGGTAAAGGGTCCACATGGTGAGGTGGTTCTATGTCATCCACACCTTTATAATTCACCATTTAAAGAGGTGTAATTGAACTTCTTGCTGACTTTTGAGTTGCTTTGGTTTGCACATGTTACCCAAGTTCTATATTCTCCAGAAATCATGTGCTATGTGAACCCACTGTGCGTAGAATTAGAATAGAATTAGAATTAGAATAAAACTTTATTAATCCCTTCGGTACAAGACCTCAGGGAAATTGCTGCACCAAAAAACAACACAACACCAACATAAAATCAGCAACAAAACAACAGCATTCAAAGTGCAAATCAAATCAATCAAATCCAAATCAAATCAGCATTCAAACTCAATAGTTTATTTACTTATATTCATTATTATTTATTTACTTCTTTATTTACCATCACAGGGTGGGAAGGCAACATCTCCAGCAGCAGGTTATTCTAAAATACGTGATGTATCTGAGGAATATTCACTGACACAGTCCTACAGCCCAATCTGTAGCCGTCCTATGTGTAAATATCCATGTCTTATAGGCTCTAGGTGTTGAAGCTGTGTTACTGATCGGGAGGTAAAGGGTTCAAGCAGCTTAGCTTAATTAAGTAGCTACAGGCTGCTAACAACCTGCCACTTGTCATTCTGATATCACTCATTGCAGTGACTTAGAGCATCGTGTGCTGTGCAGAAAGCTTAAGAGCTAAATGATCACCTAGTTTATGTTCCTAATGTTGTATATTCATAAAATGTATGCGTTACCGTGTTTTTGTGTGGTGCAGCAGGGCCACACTGGTCGAACTTATCCTCAGACAACTGGAAGTTCAGTTCAGTCCAGTAACCATGCCTGCTTTGCATATTTAAAGCCACATCCTTCTAAGTGCTCGCTGATGCTCTGCCAAGTGCCAGATAGTGGAGAGAGCCGAGCCTATCTCATAAAACCACAAGGTCACATTTGGATACACCAAACCATGCCAGAGCCATTCTTTGCTGTTTCTTCATGCTTCACCTGCTCTTCCTTCTTAACTCAGTTACTATTTTCTTCCCCTTTTCTTGCCCTCTCTTAAGATGTCCACCTATCCACTTAGTCCCAGTCTGACAGATGTTATCAATTTAGGCTGCGGCCAGAGACACCATTAAGGGTCCCAGACAGAGGATAAAAAAAGAAAAGCAGAGGCGAGGGGATTACTGAGACGCTGCAGAGCGGGAATGATACGGGTGATAAAACCGCTGATCATTCCACTTTACAGAGACTGGTCTTTACGTGGTGTCAGCTCTCTCTGGCCGCTCCTCGCTCGCTCTATAGATCTTCACTCTCCTTTATTTGCGTCATTTCCAAAACAGCAACAGATGAGAGCGGAGAGGCATGGGTGAGCTGGAAATAGCATCGTTACTTAAGCGTAAGTGTGAGAGATGCGAGGTTTCACACTTCCTGTGTGATTTATTGTCGTGTATCAATGCCCGCGAGCGTATATTTATTCGATATACTGCACATACAGCTATATTTCTGATTCACTTTGCACACGTGTGTGACCATCAGCGCCTCTCCCTGCTGTGATGAGGGAAGCTGGGGAGACAGGGCGGCCCTGTGTGATTACACACTCGAGGAAAGAGGAGAATGAAGCAAGATGAGTGTGTTCCTCTTTGCTATCTGACTGCTACACACTTCTGAGCAGGAACACTCTCCGCCGGGTCAGAGGGTAAATATAGGCTGACTGAGTGAGAAGTGCACAGCCAGCACTTACTCTCTGAGGTGAGGAAAGAAGGTTAGGCAGGGATCAAACACTTTTATTGGAAAATAGGTGAGAGTGAAAATGTGCAAATGCGCACAGGCAGCCGAGAAGCTTTATTGTTGCATTAAACTAACAAGTTTGAAGGACAACGTGTGTTTTATGCACATCTAGTAGGGTTAGCTATGTAGTGCATACTTACAGGTTCATTTTGAAGGACTGTATGTTTGGATCACACATGTCGACATCTACTATCCTCCACTACTACTGCTGCCTGTTTCTGGGTCTATCAGGGTCTTAAGCCATGTTTACACCAGAACCAACCCTGCTTGTCAAAATGCTCATTTATTTCAATGGAGCCTGTCTAGTCACACAGCAGGGATGCCAGTGCAGAAGTCTCCAAGAAAACAACACAGGGTCACCACTTGACATTTACGGCTTCATCTGGCGACATGCTGAACCGGCCGATCACATGCCTGCGAGCACACAGTCTCTGTACATACTGTGCAATATGAACACAGCGCAGTTTGCCTCCAAGCTGCTGTAATGAAGGATAAAACAGTTGTCACAGGGACAGCTTTCCAGAGTTGTAAATATTGATTCCAAGTAGTATAAACCACTGCAGCTGACAAGCTTTCTAATTCACGTATCTGCTACACAAACATCCCAGACGTACCTTCCCTGCATTCCTAATTAAACGTATTTTCATTTCAGTATGCATACATTGGATTTTGTGATAATATTGCACCTTAAGCTTTAACCGCCTTGCTCACGTATCCATCACAGCCTGCAGTGCCAAATGAGCTCTCGTCTGTCTGCACTCCCCTCGGTGGCTTAAGTCTGTCTTGTACTTGCGTGAGACACCGTGACATATGTGGTGGATCTTCTGCAGCACAGATTGTGGGTCAGAGGAGCATGTTGGTTTGCATACTGCTAAATGAGACCGGATGTTGTGGCACATTCTGGTATTAATGGCATACAGCATTTCCCATGCTATGTATAGAAGCATACTAAACCTTTTTTCTGGCTCGCTATAAACCATGGGGGCATAGGGGGACCCTTCACGTCTCTCCTGCACCTGAAGCATCATGCCTCCATCAACGCAGCACACTCGAGCTGATTTTGGGCTGGTTATGGATTAGTCCTGGTCTGTCGCGTTTCACAGTGAGTGAACATGAAGTAGTGCCAGAGTGTATATAAAAGATGGAAACAGTGACGCTACCTGCAGATGTGGGGAAGCGTTGCCATTCTGAGGCCTCGAGTTTTACCACTTTGCCGTCGCCTTCTTGCTCTTTTGAAACCGGACATGAAGACCAAAGGTAGATCTGACAGAGAACTGTCAATCACTAAATTTTACCCTCCTTTATCATCTATTCTACTCTAAACGGGATCATTGTTTACAACATTAACATCGCGCTGTGTTGAAGGAAACTTGAAACAGCGACTGAGACCATAAACTCAAGTGGGTTCCTTTTCTCAAAGCTTTCTATACAATCGTTTCAGGGCTCTATTAAGCTACGAAAACCTTTATTCAGCGTCATCTTCAGACGCTGAAACTCTCGTACTCGTATAAACTGATTCCCGTGTGTTTGCAGCCGCTAATGAGCGAATGAGGCGGGTTTAATTGCGATTTTTACAGACTGAGCGATGCCCTAAAGTCTTGTCACAGCACACCAGAATGGCTTCTTTGGATAAATATATGAAATATGGTAATTCTAAATTAAATTCATTGGCTGTGGTCAGGACAGAATCTGTTTCCATTAGACAATGCTGACTGGCCAGTTAAGTGTTATGAACCGTGAAATTAAATCATTAAATTGAATTAAACACAGCAGAATATCACTGTACTGATTAGAGCTGACAAATCTTTTTTTATTTACTCCGCCATCACCCTCTATCACGCCACGTCTTGTCTGAGCTCTAAATCGTCATCGGACTGTTCCTCTGTGAAACCAATTACTAAGCAACGAAAGGCAGAAATAACCAGTTATGCAAGGGGTTCGCTTTCTTTTCCCTGCCTCTGAAAACACATTTAGAGCCGAAGCTTCAGGAGTCAGTTAGACAATAAATGAGCTCATCTCTGCAACATGTTTGCAATCAACATGCCGGACACTTAAAAGCTCGCCGCTTTGAAAAGGCAATCTGCTGCGGCTAATGGCTTATGTTGGGATTTCGGTATCGCCTTTACGAATCTTTATTGCGGCTTAGCCCCCGACTAGAAAAGCAGAAATAGTCTCTGAACTCCCTTCTCTATTCAAGACCCTTTTAATCCCGCTAAAGGCATACAATGTTCAATGAAAGGGACGGGAGGGGGAGGAGGAAGAGGAGGAGCGCTGTGGGGAGGTCGAAGATGAAAGCGACGCGAGATGACCTGCTCCTGCGCCGCCAAAGAGAGACGTCTTTATCTGAGGCTAAGCATCGCCGAACAGTCTCATTTGGGTTATCAAATCAACGGTATGCCGCACCGTGTTGAAAAAGTGCCCTTTGTTCTACCCTTGTGCAATTAGTGGCAGCTATCAGTTTGGAGGACAGTTTAATTGTACGCCTTCATTCACACTCGTTCAATCGTTTGTCAAAAGCAGGCTAAGTGCTCTTCTTAATTACATTGTTCATTCAAGGCCAAAGAACATGTTCCGCTCTCAGTGACTCCCTTAGTAGTAATACTTCAGCAATATTATTCTTGAACTTTCTCTCGTACAGAAGCAGCCGAACACCCCGGATACTTCAAATGACTGTGACTTTGATATTAAAACTTTAGCTTCATTTGCGCTCTTCTTCCTTTCGCCGCCCTCAGGATGAATGAAAGAGGAAAATGAAGCGGACACTTTGGAGCGACCGTCATCATCATCAGCGCTGCCCACTCACCTTGCCAGCAGGCGCCCACCGTGAGCTGCACATCAATCTGCGAGGGGTGGATGGGCCAGTCGTCCGTCACCAGGTAGGGGTCGTAGGTCACGCCGTCCACGTAGAGCGTCACCACCGGGAACTCCACGTTGATGACGTAGTAGTGCCACTCCTTGTCGCATATCTGAGAGACGGGGAGACAAAGAGGGTCACGAATGGATCCTGAGCTCGAACTAAAAAGTCGTTCAGGAAAGTCAAACGTATCCTAAATGATAATGTGAATATTATGCAACACTTGCGGTTAAACTACTTCTAACTCTCCAAGCCCCGAGCAGGTTTGAGGTGTTTTTTTTTCTTCACATTTTCACTCCCCGTAGGCTCATTTTTCACTGCAATCTAAAGTCCTGCACCTCTATGGAAAAGGCACAACTATGGCTAGAAGTAGAAGGAACTAAAACAGGTGTTTTGTGCAGCATGACACAGGTAGAACGTCATAAATCCTAAAAGAAAACAACAACAACACACAAATCCATATAAACCTGCTGCCCAAAGGTGCTACCAATACATATTTTCCTCCTCCTCCAACAACTTGCTGACAATTTACTCCACTGTACATCATTTTTAAGCCAGGCCATATCCTTTGTATTGCTAAAGTAGTCTCTATCTACCTCTCAGTCTCTCTAAAGTGTTTCCATGTTTGTCTACTCTGTGCAATCCAGCAGACTAGTTCCTGAATTTTCATCACGACTGTCAGTCGCAGCTGAGCCAGTCATGGCCTCGAGGGAAGCAGAACGATTATCTTTGGTGAATTTTTGAATGTGAGGTAAATTAAATAGATGCTGTTAACATATTACAGTTTTGAGCTTTGATTTGGGTCATTTTTCTGACAGAATCACACATGATTAGTTCAAGGGTCACCGGAAAAGCCAACAAATGCTGGCCTTGATAACGATTTTCTTTAATAGCAGCATGTCTTTCAAATCCATGGGTGGTTTTGGGGGTTTCAGAGAGTCAAAGAAGCTGCAGAAAAAAAAAACCCTTTCATCCTCTTTCTTGATGAGAGTACGTTAAATATGAAGCTACTGCAAACACAGCAGCAGAAGAGCTCGATGTTTTCCCATATTTGGTGTTTTCATGATGATGATGATGGCGGTGGTGGTGGGTGTTCGTTTGGGTTGTAATCTGGTAAATGTGAGGACCACAGCATGATGACTAACAGCTTTTTATTCATCAGACCCGCTGCTGACCCCTTGTGCTTTACATGGATGCATTCATTTGTTTTTCATTTGGATGCTTTTCTTCATTTGTCTTCTGTGCCGATGTCAGAAAGAAAAACCTACGATTTATACTAAAACAAAACTAACTCGTGTGCATTTATAAACCACATTGAAATAAAGGCCCAAGTACAACCTGAGCGCAAACAAGTGAGTCTTTCTGTTCACCACTAATTGCATGAAGAAAATGACAGAAGAAGCCTCGGCACCCAGGATGTAAAAACACTTTCACATTAAGCATTAAGCGTGAACGAGTAGGAAATCAGTTTGTCGGGCTCCATAAAGACGGGAGCGCGTTCGAGAGCGTCAGCAAGTTATGGAGCATGAGCACAAACACAGCTGCACCAGTGGTAAACGGGAACAGAAGAGCCACATTACCAATAAGCGAAGGATCCGTCACTGTCCTCGAACATTTCGCCATGTAGAATTCGCTTTTTGTGCAGCCTTGCTTTGAAAAATAGTCCCATAAATGTTTGTGGCTTGGCACAAGTACTGACTGTGGAAACTGGTGGTTCAATGACAGACAGCGACAGTGTGAAGGATACTGCATGAAGTAAACCTCTATGGATGATAGCCAAGGGAAAAGAAAAGAGAAAAAAACACTGCTCACAACAGGACAAAAAAAAAAAAGAACATGAAAAGAAGCCTGATGAACACTGGGCAGCTCATTCTTTGGCCAGATGAAAATGAATTTTTGTGGTCCAGCATGTTCTGCACGGACCGGACCGGGACGACCACACTGACTGCATTGTGCATTCTGCAGAACACTGCGGCGTTGACGAGATTCGGGGCTGCACGGGAGGAAAAGGTGCGAAAGAGATGACATTTAAAGGTGGCGCCGTGAATGGAAGTTTGTTTACCAAAATACTGAATAAAAGATGACTCCCAGCCTCCAGAAACTTGGCAGGAGAGGAATTTTCCAACGTGATAATGATCCCAGAAGAAATCACATGAGAGTTTTAAAAGTGAAAACAATGACCCGACCCAGTCTGTCCCTTGATTTTAAACCCGGGAGCATTTTAAAGGCCGAGCAGCAAACCGATTCATCAGCCGGAAAGAATCATCTGTGTAGAAATCTCTAACATCCGTCTGCGGCGGAGTGATGTGTCACGGACGCTTCGGAGGGTCAAACCTGTCTCAAGAAATAAAACATAAAGGACTGGAATCTCACTAACCTCACTTTTACCTGCAGTTGGTCCTTAAATACGACCCTTTCATTATATTTGAATCATACCATCTGTTATTCAGATTATTTTGGCCACATTCGTAGGCCGGATTGATGTTCTTTTAGCGTTTTGTTGACATTCACTGAGTGTGTTCTCATTTTATTGCATCCTGGATTGATTATGTAGAATATTACCTCATACATGACCTCTTTAATATGTCAAGATTGAAGTTTGAAGCATTATATGTGTCTCAAACATTCCCGGTACATGGGACACTACCAGTATAAACTGTTTATGTGCTACATACAGCATACTTAGTGGATGTGGAGGGATTTCATCTGTAACTGTTGAACGGCAGCATGATGATGCTTGGAGACGACAAAACGTTTTGCTGGCAAACATAAGAAACCATTTGTTTGCAGTCTCCAAAATAAAAAGCAGCCTCCAAAAGAGGAAAAAAACAAAAGAAATGGGATTAATTTGAAGGACGAACCTAGCAACTGTACTAGTTGACAGTTAGCACAGTGCTGGGTTGTCTCTCCCAGCATGTAGGGCCTGTGGACTCCAGTTCAAACTGGTCAGCCAGGTCAGAACTGAAGGATGAAGTTGGCAAAGCTAACAACAAATACACACAATTTTCTTAAAGTTCTCCCAACGACAACGTCTAAACTCATAGATGAACCCTCAGTCATTGTTACTGAACCTCAACAGAATATTCTATAATAGTAATTAGTTATTTCACATCCTCGCTTCAATCATATTTCAGACCCCACATGTATTATGTGTTAATATAACTTTTGAGATGTGCTTTCAAAAGACGGCGTCCACAAATGACAAACTCTGATAACTAGGACCACACAAATGAACTGACTCTAGCTGCTGAAGTTATGCTTAAATAGCAGAAAAACCACAAATAAACGGTGTGACTTATGTCCACCTTTCTACACAAATGAGACAAGCATGTGGTGAGGCAGAGAGCTGCTGCTTTCTGACAGTAACTCTCTACCTGTGTACAGATTACCTGAAGCAACAAGTCACACAAAAATACAACTAGTTGTTCTGTCCCCCGAAATGATCCGTATTACAGTCTGAATGTTAATCAGTTCAAAACAAGAGCAACAGGCTCCAGACTGCTGCACTTAATGAACAATATCGGATCCTCTGGTATTAAATTCCTCTGTGTGGTGGTGTCAAGGTGCAAAACTTCCCATAAAAGACGATGAAAAAACAGCCTTTATGCCATTAGCTCGCACAAAGAACAGACTCGCAGTGCTGAAAAATATCACAGGCCTGGTGTTTCTCAGAAAACACAGAGCTCCCTGATCAGAAGGAAACATTTCTGCCGCCATAAACTGCTCGTACTTATCAGTGGAAGCTCATATGTATGTTGTAGATGAAAGATTGACGGTGATGTGAGCGGCCTCCGTCTGTGTGGTAGATGTCACTGCTAGGCGTTAGCTTCTGACTCTCTGCCACGATTATTTATTATTATTTATTTTTAACCTTCATATGTGAGCAGAAAAAAAGCATAAACACACACTGCAGAACACACCACATGCACAGTTCAGGCCGTCTGTCTCCTTAAATGACCCGCTCATCCTTTGCTCTGTAAGTCCTTCTAATTTTACATAAAATTAATAAAAGGTGAGGAAACCTTTTTTTTGAAACATAGAAGTCTGAATTATTTTAACTTTTTTTTTTTTTCTAACACCCAGAATAATACAAAGAGAATTTAGAAAATCAAATGTCCTCTTTCACCTCCTGAGATCATTTTGTTCCGGTGCTGGAGAACAGATGTATTAATTCTTGGCTTGGGAAGTTAAAACTGAATCATTTCCTTTGTGCTAAATGCCCGCTGAAATGCATTAGCACATCACCTGTTTAACCTCCTCTGAAAAATGCTTGACTGCGCCTCTCTTCAGCGCGCTTGACCGTTTAGCCTGCCTTCGCTGTGCATTTTAATTGATTGCGGCGGCCCACTCACGGCCGTCTGTCTGTCTCTCTCGGCTTTAGGCTTCAATCTTTACCTCGGCAGCGCCGCCAGCACTCGTCGGGCGGCGCTTCACCTCTTCCTCTCGGCTCCTCTGATACAACCTGGGAGAGTCTTGGAACACTTAGCCTTGGGTAACCTCCCTCTCTAATGAAGAGCGCTGCGCAGAATGCTTATTAACACCATGCTAGCGCGGCAGATGGGAGCTCTAATCAATCCGGTTCATTTTCCCTGTTATTGAGGTGCGAGCTACAACATCTGGCCTATTGGTGATCATTCGGCACAGCTGCTTAACACATATGCAGCGTGTCGATCTGCTGAGTCGGTGCTCGGAATCGTTGAGGGGATAATCCGGTTGGGGTTTTGATGGTGCTGCAGATGCGAATGAAACTGATGAGACCAACTTTGATTAGCCAGTTAGGACTTAAGGACGCAGCTTCTTTGCATTATGCAGGTTGGCTGAATGTGATTGTGACGTGTCGGCTCGTTCTCTGATTCCTTCACACGTCTGTTGCAGGCGTGTTTTTAAATCTCATTACTCGGCTGTCTGATGTGATTCAACCTATGTACACACACTAATCCTTCTGACATTTACACATGCAGACGTCTTCTCTTTCTGCCTTTTGCTCTTCAGTATTTCAAAGCGAGCTCAGGTCCATATGGGATCCGAGCGCCTCGTGGGTGACTTCCTCTCGCAGGCTTCAAAGGGGAAATGGCACAGAGTTGTTGCCCAAGAGGAGGCTGCTTGAGCTGGGCTGCCTTGTCAGCTGGAGATCCCTCTCACGGATAGAAAGAGGGAGAGAATAACGTGGCCACACATGTCAACGGAAAGTACAGAAGCCGTGTTATATTCTCAGCAGCTGTAGAGACTTGAAAAAAATAAAAATAAAATTAATTCAAACAGTTTAAATTAGTAAATATTTGAAAATCATTCCAGCCAGATGGAATTAGCAGTACAGTACAGTAATCAGCAGTACAGTTCTGCAATTTTTAGTCTTAATAATACAAGCAATGACTAAAATAGATTTTCATTTGTACAATTAAGTCTAATAATTGAACTAATTGCCGCTGTAGAGCATTTCAAAAGCAGCAACTTGTGAATATGAGATGTTTTATGAGGGTTTCAACAAAAAAAACATCTTTTAGATCAGCCCCTTCTTTTGTCAGTAAGATGGTACATATGGCATGAATTGATGGATGGATGGATGGATGGATGGATGGATGGACAGTTGGATGGATTGATGGATTATGGATGGATGGATGGATGGATGGATGGATGGATGGATGGATGGATGGATGGATGGATGGATGGATGGTTGGTTGGTTGGATGGATGGATGGGTAGATGGCATGACCTCGCAGCTTGTTTTGTAACTAATTAGGGTCTGAGCACTACAGTGGGTTGGACCCTATTGGAACTGCTGAGTATTATTATTATTCTTCAGCTGAAACAAACAGATTTTTGAGGGCCTAAACATGCACGAACACTCACCAAAATCTCCACGCACATCAGGACTGTCGAAAAATTTGATATTTTAAGGGACTTGGACATGTCAATGCCAAAATGGCTCCACAGCGCCACCTTGAAAATTTCAAAATTTCAGTTTACATTTGACATTTTCAATTACTTCACATTAAATTGTAGAAATTTGTTTTTACTTTCACGCTTTGTCCAAACAGCCAAAGCATATTGACTATCCTGTCTTGGATTCAGTGTTGTAAAGCAGTAAAAGTGGACGACTTTTATAGACCCTGTGTATCTGGTCAAAGGTTCTCAGTGGTGTGACAGAGACCTTTGAATCTGGGTGGAACCACACTGTAAAAAACATCCAGCGACAAAACAACTGTGACGATCTGGCAGCAAAGGTGTCAGAAAAAAAACATTAACATTCAGGGAAATAATGTGATGTTCAAAAACTGTGAAAGAAAATATCTGTAGAATAACTAAAGAAGGAAAATCAGTAAAGTAACAGAAAATTGTTTTAAAAAAACCGAAAAGTCCGAAAGGGTAAAAAAACGTCGATGTTTTACAGTGACGGTGTTTTTACAACACGACAGGAGACCAGAGAGCTGACTGATCTCACTTCACTGAAAGCTGCTGCTCAGACCAGAACATGGCTCAGAGAGGATCTAACCTGACGTCAGAGAACTTTTCTTGTTCCATCTGTCTGGACCTGCTGAAGGATCCGGTGGCTCTTCACTGTGGACACAGCTACTGTCTGCACTGTATTAAAGCCCACTGGGATGCAGAGGACCTGAAGGGAACCTACAGCTGCCCTCAGTGCAGGAAGACCTTCACACCGAGGCCTGTCCTGGAGAAAAACGTCCTGCTGGCAGAGCTAGTGGAGGAGCTGAAGAAGACTGGACTCCAAGCTGCTGCTGCTGATCACTGCTATGCTGGAGCTGAAGATGTGGCCTGTGATGTCTGCACTGGGAGGAAGAGGAAGGCTGTCAAGTCCTGTCTGGTCTGTCTGGCTTCTTACTGTGAGATACACCTTCAGCCTCACTATGATTCACCTCCATTAAAGAAACACCAGCTGGTGGAGCCCTCCAAGAACCTCCAGGAGAACATCTGC